CTTGTCCTTGGTTTGGCACCGGACGCAGTCACACTCGAAGTAGTACTGGCTCCTCAGCTGCTCCCGCCGCTCCTCGCTGGTCATGAGCACGTCCAGGTAGCAGATGGTGAGCTGCAGGACCAAGAGGAAGCGATCACACAGCCGCTGTGCATACTGCAGGGAGTACTGGCGCTCGTCAGAGTAAAGCTTCAAACTTATATTTATTACATAACAAGAAGAAGAGAAGATGCCTCTGAGAGCCCCCTCACCACACAATTGCACCAGATTTTGATGTATTTCCTGTCAATCTTTGTGCAGTGTGCACACACACACACACACACACACGTCACATATTTAGTTAGTAGAACTCAGCTTGTGGCCTCTGTATTTTTGTGTGAATCACAACTTTTTGTCCTTCACTGGACGGTAAATTACAGGAACTGTTTGTTGTACGTTTGGTACTACGAAGGTTTAGCCATAAATTCTATCGGCTGGTGACTGGAGAGGCCAAGTCCATCCTGGCAATCAAGGGGGCGGCAGATGACGTGGCCAGATTGCTCTTAAATCCTCACCGACTCCACAGTGCTGCCTGGAATTCAGCCGCACCCCGTATGCTATCATCGGATGAGAAGACGCATAGTAAAAAGTACATCAGAGTCTGTGAGGAGGAGGAGCTCCCGTGAGCATGCCCTCGCTGGCGGGGTCCCGTGGTCATTCCTCGGGTCTGTCTCGTGTGGTAACTAATGCCTATGAAAGGGCAGCGGGGCGCACGCGGAGAGCCCCCGGCGGAGAGCCCCCAGTGGCTCCCCAAGTCCACCGAGTCACAGGTCTCTAGGCAACCCTGCGATGCTTGAACAGATCTACAGTGCACTGAAATACATTTCCAGCTATCTAAATCACAACTGACTTCGGCCACAATTCCGCCTCAGAGCCTGTCTACTCGCAGGCGGGAATAAGCCCCCTTGTGTTATCCACACTACAATCTCAAAAGTTATTCTTGACTTTGTCACCCAAGTGCAGCAAGAACTATAAAAAATACATGGAGAACCAAGCTCTCGTTACCTTTCCAATGTCCTGTCCTTCTGAACTACCATCACCACTTCCCTGTGAAATGCAAGTCTCAGGCTTGGCTCCACGCCCCAGGTGCCCTGCCCTCCATCCTCCAGCCACAGAGATTCCTCAAACCACAGGCCGGGTAAGGGCTGCTTCTGTTTGAAATGCCACAGCAGCGCCCCCTAAGGGCCAAGTCCCTGCAGCGGCCTCCACACTGCGACTCCCTCCCACGGACCACAAGCTCCCCAGGAAGCAGGGAGATGCGAAGTTGGTGTTCAAACACTCGTACACTGACTTGTTAAGAGTAACTTCCTGTGAGTTTTTGTTTTATGGTTTTTTCCTTCATTTAGCTACTAGCTCATTTTTAGTGCTCGTGTAGCACTAGTGTGTGATAATCCCGGGGGAAATGTGGGTCTGGCATCCCGGCAGCCCACCGTGGCCCCGTGTGGCCTGTGGACCTGTCTTCTGGCTGGCCCGCTGTCCTGCCGTATGCTGGTGTCGTCTTCTTCCTGCTTCAACCAATCTCACTTTTCAGCGAGGTCTAACCCGTCCCCCTCTAACGTGACAAGCTGGTTCCCACCCCCCGCAGCACTCCTAAATTCCCTCACGCGTCCTTGTGATTATTTCCTTGCAACGTTTATCAGCTTGCACCACCCTGTGTAAGTCACTTCTCTGTTTTTACAGACCAAGTATTCATGGGGGTATGAGGTGAGGGAGGAGGGGTGGAGTTAGAGAGGAAGAGAGCGGGATCATCTGCTGAGGGAGCTGTCAAGATCTCCCCAGAGCAACGCAGACCCTCCATGTGGTTTTCCTGAATCCTCAACAAAAGCGTCTTCAGTCCACCAAACCGACCTGCTGTTACTTCATCACCCAGGCAGAGAAGGCCCTCCCCTCCCACAGGAAATGGCTTCATCCGCGGCACCGGAGGACAGGAAACCTGTCAGGTGCACCACAGCCATGGCCGGGGACAGAAGCTGCCGTCTGACCCAGCTACCTGGCTGCACGGAACACAGACAACCACGCTGGAGAACCGCTGTGTGCCGCGAGCTGTCCTGGGGCAGCCCAGCACAGGAAGGAGCAAACAGAGGGAAATACCTGAGCTGCTGCGTCTGAGATCTTTCTGATACTGAGCAAAAACTGGATTTGCTGTTGCTCCAGAGCTAGGAGAGCAGGCGGGCAAACAGTGAAAAAAAGCACAAAAGATGGGCTTTTCAAGTACATGAAGACCAGAAGGGATCTCTGTCTCAGAACTCACTGACCACGTCTAGCAGTTTCTCTGTCTGCTTGTCAGTTTTCCTTTCCAGTGCTGAGGGCAGAACCAGTTGCTTGCTGGGCAAACATACCAGCACCGAGACCAGCCCGGCCTCTGCTGTGTGCTTTGTGCAGATGAACACATCGCCCGCCACAGCCACAGATGAAAACGGGCAGCACTTCCCTTTCTCACCTGCCTCTAAGTCATATACCTAGACCTAGAAAAGTGACCCTAGATTCTCCCTACTACTGACGGGGAGCCCTGGAAGCCAGAAGTCGGGCAGGTTGCCGCGCCAGAGGCAGCAGCGCGATGGAGCGTCTCTGTGGAGGGAGTCTCCTCAGACCAGACCCCGTCTCTAAAATGTGGGATCTCCAAGTTCAGTTTTATTGTCTGAGGGCTACATAAATGTAATCAAAGCTGTTTCTCTTGTGATAAATACCTATTTTAGCAGATTGGAAGGCAGAAGGAAACTGGTTCTAAGAAGTATGAAGGTTTGCGGGGCGCTGGTGGCTCACACCTGTCATCCTAGCTACTCAGGAGGCTGAGATCTGAGGATCGCAGTTCAAAGCTGGCCCAGGCAGGAAACTCCATGAGACTCTTACCTCCACTAAACCATCAGAAAAGCAGAAGTGGCGCTGTGGCTCAAGTGGTAGAGCACTAGCCTTGAGCTGAAGAGCTGAGGGACAGCGTCCAGGCCCAGAGTTCAAGTCCCATAACCAAAAAAAAAAAAAGTGTGAAGGCTGGTCACCAGAGGAGGCGGGCTTGGCAGTCCATGCTCCAGGGAGGGGACCAAGGCCAATGCGCCGCTGCAGGCTACACTCCCAAGCCTCTATTTCCTTTGGGTCTTTGGTGAGCTGAGCACTTCTGTGAAGGCTCCAGAGCAAATCATACTCGCTTACTCAACATGGAACTTAAAGTGCACGATCACCTTAGAAGTGAGCTGAGTGGCTGTGGGGAGAAGTCAGATCTACAGCCAGCTGCCTCCCTGCCGTGTAAGATGACACTGGAAAGGAGGGACGGGCGGCTGTACGCATGAAATACACCCCGTCTACACAAACATCTCATGTGCACGCATGCATTATCATCCACACACACGATGGCTGAAAAATAAGCGAGCAGCCATCTCTGTGCAGGCGTGGCTGCGCGCTGGTCTGTGCCGCGTCGGGGAACGGGCCGCTCCGAGAGGGCTTCGCAGGCAAGTGCCTCATGCTCACCTCTTCTCCTGCCTCGATGTCGCGGACTGCACGCAGGAGGAGGTGGGGCCCGTTGAACACAATTGAGCAGTTGGGGTCGCAGCTGTGGTTGAGCAAAGACATGCTGAGGGAAAGAAAAGAGGAGACGTCAGAGGCCAGCAGACAGAACCCACACCACAAATGCTGGGAGAGAAGACACAGGATTGAGGTTCAGGCCCTGAGGGCACAGAACAGCACGGGGCGGCGGGGTGGGGGGAGAGGCAGTGCGTGGGAAGGACGGGCCGGGCCGAGGTCCGGGCAAAGGTCACAGCGGGCAGCGCAGAGGGCAGCGCGGAGGGCGGTGAGGGCAGGTTCGCCGGTTCCCTCTCTGGTCCGGCAATGTGGCCAGAGCACAACGTGCAAATGCCCAAACCAGCTCAGCTACAGCAGTCTGGTGAAATGATCCTGAAATGATCAGCCTGGGGGTGCCCGGGTCTCAGGGCCCAGCATCCACTGCTTATTTGAAGCCCCCAGAGAGCAAGCATTCGGGTGGGAGGAGTGTCTTGCCACTTATGCATAGCACAGAAGGTGCTGGCGTAAAATCTAAGACTTTTGCACCTTCTTGGCTCTGGGGACAGTGCTGCCTGCCTGGCTGGCTGGGCTGAGAGGGAACTGTTCTCCATACCTGGGGTACAGGCCAACACCGACCTCCTGCATCTCCGCATTGCAGATGGTGAAGGAGTTGCAGATCACCTGGAAGAAAGGGAGACAGCCACTTCAGACACTCCTCCGGGACCGAGCAGAAGCCTCTCGTTGAAGTTGCACCGAGGAGACCCAAGCCCAACATGGATGCCCGGAGAATTGCAAAGGTCCCTGCAGCAGAGCTGGTGTTTTCAGTGCAAGAGCACTAACACCCGGGGGGAGGCGGAGGCTTGCACGGTGCTCAGATCTCGGCCTCCCGAGGGGCTGGGGCGACAGGAGACAGTGCCAGCGTGCGGCTTATCCACACATCTTAAACAAACACGAGTCTTGTGTGGGACTGCAAAGGCGTCCTGCCATGGGAGGAGGAGACGCAGGGCCAAAGCTTCCACGCTGTTCTTGGAAACTCTAGACATTCCTTGGGGTTATGGAATATAAATGTTAACACATGCTTTCATGGATAATCAGAACTTTAAGGAACTAATCTACCAATGGAGGAAAAAACTCACCAGATCTAATTCACTAACATTTGAATCAAATCAAAATTAATTTTCTCTTTAGTATGAAGTAAATCAAAGACTTTCCCAAAATGTATTTATTCTAGTGGATTTTTTTAAACAGGAAGAGCTAGCAGGGGGAAGCAGCAGCTTGGGAAATGTTTCTCGCCCAGGGATGTAGGTGATGTTTCTCATCCTTTAGCATACTTACCCTCCCGCCCCCGTGGTGATTTAACAGTTACTCACCCCGTACCAACCGGCAAGGGGCACTTGAGGGCAGAGGCGGTATCTCAGTTGGGCCTGTTTTCCCGTGCCTAGCACAATACCTGGTACCTCGACGTCACTAACAGACACAGGTCCAACCCGTGGGTGGCATGTGTATGGCTGCCCATCCTCAGATGGCCGCTACCCAGGACAGGGTCAGGGAAGGTGCTGGAACACCCTACGGGAGCTCTGGATGTGGAGGAGGGAGACGGAAGCTGGCTCCGCTTGCAGAAGTGGTGGGGACTTCCTCTGCCGTCGGGCAGCGTTGCTGCCCAGGGCTGCCACCCTTTCCCTGGCTCTAACTCATCTGACCACCCGTCACCCAGATGGAAACACAGTCTCTTCCATTCAGAGAGCACAAGGACTTGTTCAGTTCTCTGCTTGATGTCGAAGACATGAACTGACGGCTTACCATGCGAGGAGGTGAGCATGCGCTAACTCCCTGCCGCTCCCCCCTGGCCTCCGTGGTTCCACGCCCTCTCCATCCAGGCGTCTCCTGAGCCACTCCTTACCTTCTCTACCCTCCGGTCTCTTTCCTATTTCCACTGCTATCGGTCTACCCCTTTTTTCTCAATTCTTCCCAGCTCTGTAGTGCAACAACCGTGCTTTAAATTTTTATTTAATAAGTTCCAGCCAATTCCCTATCTTACTCCTAATGTTGTGTGCTATTCCTTTTGAGTCAATGAATAGCAAGTGGAGTTTCTGCCTGCTCTCACTTTATTAAAATGTGGGGTCTGTTCAGCAGGGGCTCCATTACAAGGAGCATTTCAGGGAATTTTTGACACAAACAGACAGCCATGATGGACAGGAGATATTTCTCAGGTTTTTTTCCTTATAATTGCAAAAAGAGGTAGATAGTACTCCCATGAATGTTCCAGAAATAATTGAAAAGAACTGTTCTGTTCTGTCTACCAAGAAATAAGCAAATGAAAATAAAGTCCAAAAATAACTGTTAAATATTTTTATAGTATTAACTTTGTACAGTTTTCTTAGGAAATTGCATACAGGAAAATACTAATGAGTGTCTATGTCATACAAAGGCATACTTAGAAAAACATACCAGTAGGATTACTGCAATGAAAATAAAAGCAATCAGGAGGAAAAAAAAAAATCTTAAAAAATTCAAGCACAGGGGCTGGGGAGGTGGCTCAGTCTTGTAGAGCACTTGCCTTGCATGCCTGAGGCCCTGGGTTCGATTCCTCAGCACCACATAAGCAGAAAAAGCCGGAAGTGGCACTGTGGCTCAAGTGGTAGAGCACTAGCCTTGAGCTGAAGAGCTGAGGGACAGCGTCCAGGCCCAGAGTTCAGGCTCCATGACCGAACCCCCCCCCCCCAAAAAAAAAATTCAAGCATGGTTATTGCTTTAAAAACAGTTCCCATGACATGAAACTGGAACACATATGTATTATTTTTGAGCGTGAAGCTATGTTTACTCTTCGTAACTTTTTCTTTAAAATAGTGGAGTCTTGATGTCACGGTGCCCTTATGAGGAGACAGAAGTCCAGGGAGCTACGTAAAGTGGTCAGGTTGCATAAAGACAAGAAATATGACATTGCAAAAATCCCGAGAACCAAACCCTCTGTCCTTTGGTGCAGGTTCTAGGTTCAGAAGCTGACATGTGTAGGCCGGGCGCTGGTGGCTCACGCCTGTCATCCTAGCTACTCAGGAGGCTGAGATCCGAGGATCACGGTTCAAAACTAGCCTGGCCAGAAAAGTCTGAGACTCTTACCTCCAATAGACTACCAGAAAACCGGAAGTGGCGCTGTGGCTCAAGTGGTAGAGCGCTGGCCTTGAGCTGAAGAGCTGAGGGACAGCGCCCAGGCCCAGAGTTCAGGCCCCATGACCGACCAAAAAAAAAAAAGCAGCAGACATGTGTGCTCTGGGAGGCCCCTGCAGAGCAGACTCAAACATCAGTCACTAACAAATCAACGTGGAGAGGCCATGTGTTCAGTTTTTTTGTATTGTTTTTAATTTTGTCGGTTGTGGGGCTTGAACTCTGGGCCTGGGTGCTGTCCTTGAGCTCTTCAGCTCAAGGCTAGCTAGTATTCTACCATGTGAGCCACAGCGCCACTTCCAGTTTTCTGGTAGTTTATAGGAGATGAGAGTCTCACAGAATTTTCTGCCCAGGATGGCTTTGAACCACAATCCTCAGATCTCAGCCTCCTGGGTAGCTAGGATTACATAGGTGAGCCACCGGCGCCCAGCCCATGTATTCAGTTTTACAACTACAAGCTTTAAGTGTAGTATCTGATAAATGAAGAAATGAGACACAAGAAGGAAAATTGCCTTGATTTGTTTGTTACAACAGCAAATCCGAACAGATCAGAGAAGCTCCCACCGCCTACCAGCCCATCCTCAGATGGCCATCATGATCCCAAGTCAAGAGCTCTAACAAGATGCGCAGCATACAGCAAGAAGCTCAGCGTCTGAAGGTGCAGATGAAGGCGCCTGCACTGCCTGTGCGCTGGCTAGGGAAGCCCCCAGCAGAACGCTTGGCAGCCAGAGCTTCTGGACCAGAGGCTGACAGGTGCACGCACTGTACTCCACTTGATTCAGACCCGTGGCGTGATGCGGCAGGAAGAACCGCAGAATCTGAAACAGCCGGCGCCCACCACACCTGAAACCAGTCCGTTCTACGCCGGGACATCTTCCTCCTTTGGAACATGACATTTTATTAAATATGAATTACTTTGGCTTTTACAGTCTTTTTCTAGCCATGAAGGTAACGGCGTTGCGATCTCAAGAGTAAGAGTAACAGCAGAGACGCGGGCGGGGAAGGAGCAGAGGCAGCGCTCCCCTATCAACCCTCATTGGCCCCAGGCCTGTCCTGTGTCGCCAGGAGGCTGATAAGGGGAGGGAGAAGGGGAATGAAGGCATCCGTGTCTCAATAACTAAGAAAATGCGTCTGTCCCTGGCCAGGGAGGAACTGCGCGAGCCCAGTGGCTCAGAACCAACCGTGCCTGTGCTCAGAGCCTGCAGCAGCTTTGCCACACGGCCTCCCACGCTTTCCCCGCCCCCCGCGCCTCTGCCGGCCATCCCTGCGGACCCCGGTTAAAGACAAAAAGCAGGTGCGCAGACCCTGAAAGCTGGGAAACGACAGCATCCCACACAAGCAGGCTCACAGCAGATGAAACTGCGCAGAAAAGGAAAGCGCTGAGGAGCCACCGCTCACACAGTGCAGGAGACCTGAAGAGCAGAGTCAGACCCGGGCTTCGAACCTAAAATCCAGCTGCTGCTCAGTTCAGTCACCAGGACACAAATATCGCAGCTAAAACGGACAAAGGACTTGAATGGACATTTGAAGATAGGATAGTATGCATCTCAAAGAAGATAAGCAGATGGCAAAAAGGCTGCTCTGCATCACTGGTGCTAAGAAACAGAAATTAAACCACCCTGAGGTCATCTCTAGAAAGGCTAGAATGGCCGCCGTCAGAAGGGTGAAGTCAAGTCAGGAGACCCCCGGCACACCGCTGCCGGGAATGTGAACTAGAAATGCTATCCGGAAAACAGCAGAGGTCCTTCAAAACATTAGAAATAGAGTACCACAGGCTGCAGCCATTCCAATCCGGGTATACATGTAAAAGAAGTGAAGTGAGCCACATCTGCCCTGCAGTGCAGCAAGATTAACAACATCAAGACATGGTCCCAACCTAAGTGTTCATCAGTGAATGAATGGACAAGGAAAATGTGGCACAGATATAAAATGGAATACTACTCAGCCTTTAAAAATAAAGATGACTGTTGGTGCTGGCTCATCCCTGTAATCCTACCTATCCAGGAAGCTCAGAGCTGAGGATCATAGCTCAAAGCCAGTCCAGGCTCAAACATCCATGAGACACTTACCCAAAATAGCAAAAGGCAGAGGTGGAGGTATGACTCAAATGGTAGAGCTCCAGCTTTGAGCAAAAAAGCCCTAAATTCAAACCCCAGTATGGGCACAAAAAACAGAGGATGAAGGCATGGCTCAACTGGTAGAGCACCTGCCTAGTAAGCGTAATAATCTGAGTTAAAAACCTACTGCGGAAGAAGGAAGGAAGGAAGGGAGGGAGGGAGGGAGGGAGGGAGGGAGGGAGGGAGGGAGGGAGGGAGGGAGGTGGAGTAGGGGAGGGGAGGGAGGGGGAGGGGAGGAGGGTGGAGTAGGGGAGGGGAGGGAGGGAGGATGGGAGGGGAGGGGAGCGCAGGGAGGGAGGGAAGGAGGGAGGGAAGTTAGTTCTGCCGTCTGTAACAACACGGATGGCTGCAGGGCACAGAAAGGCAAAGCACTTACTTCTGCGCTCCCAGGCGGGCTGTGCA